CTGTGCTCTGAAGATGCCGGCCACAGAGACTGGCGAAACGTCAGGAAGAACAACCTTCAGGACACGACCAAAGAGCCTCAAAAACCCACAACCATTAGATCCCGGCCATGAAAGCCTTCGCGAATACTCTACATAGTGCTGATGGTGAAAATCTCCATAGATCTTCTCCTGTACGTCTTCTCATATTCATTGAAAGTATATAGTCCCTGCAAGTCAACAGAGCTTTGGATAGTCTGTAAATGAACAAGGAGGGGCCATAGCTTATAGTGAAGTTACAAGTAAATTCTCCTAAGTTAAATGTGCTTGGTCTATATTTTTATTAGTATATTTGGTGTTCTTATTCAAGACACAACTTTTTTTTCCTTTCCTTTTTTTATTCAAAAATACTGTCCACTCATTCCACAGTAGTCATTCAAGGGTCCAAAAGATCTTACTTGAGCAATAAAATACTGATATTGAACAGAAAGTCACTGAGCTAAGATACAATTCTGTGTTTAAAATTCAAACACTGTCTAGATCCCACAACCCAACCACCTGTTTGCAAAGGGAATTATGAAATTATAACATGCAGGAATGTATTTCCCTTAATTGACTTGCTGTGCCTATTTGTTTGCTTGCTTGTTTTCTGTTGTCTCTCTTATCTGAACATTGGTCAGGAATAGTTCAGACCTCATCTGAAAGAAGCCTTTTTGACAGCTTAATACTCTAGTCTAATTTCAAACCAGAAGTATTAGGCAGAGGACAAAGAAGAAATGGCCAAGGGTCCAAAGCTAGAAGGAATGGGGGGGGGCTGTGCTGGCAATCTGATGGTACAGGGAGAAGTGGCAGAAGCGGTAGGTTGCTGATAGGTTTTATCTGGGAAGGGAGATTTGATTGGGCAAATGGTTTGCACGCAGAAGCATAGCTTGTCGGACGGTAGTGGCAAAAGGTAATAGAAACTTTTTATAAGTGCAGCTTACACTACAAAGGAGGGTCTGGGTTCCAGTTGAACTTAGGAAGGGCTGATATTCTTTCAAAAGCCTTCAAAATGTCTCAGATTCAGTAGATGACATCATACCAGTCTAGTAGGAGGACCACATTTTTGCTCGAAGATAGCACTGGGGGATACACATGGGCATGTGTTGCGCTGAACTTCTTTTAGGTAGGAGCCTCGTGGTGCAGTGGTTAAAATGCTGTACTGCAGCTAAAACTGTGCTCACGACCTGGGGTTCAAATCCCAGGTAGCCGGCTCAAGGTTGACTCAGCCTTCTATCCTTCCGAGGTCAATAAAATGAGTACCCAGCTCGCTGGGGGGGGGCAATGTGTAGCCTGCATAATTAACTTGTAAACCGCCCAGAGAGTGCTTGAAGCGCTATGGGGCGGTATATAAGCAGCACGCTTTGCTTTTTGCTTTGCTTTAACTATGGCGGTTCTTTCTTGAGACGTATTCTATTGCAGTATTCCTATATTTCATATCCCCGAGTTGTTTTAGACAAAACTTATTTCAACAGAGTTCTTTCTGAAAGAACTAGGATTCATAATACCATGGATCTGTGCCAGGAGTGAGGTATCAGGGAACAATCTGGAGGTGCATGGACAGGCAGTAGGTTTTGGGACAATGTAGTTCATCCCAGTATATCGAGCAACAAATGCCCTCCCCTTGTGTTACTGTAAACACTGGGACAATCTATTCAAATTTGCAACAAAAATACCAGAATGATTGATCTAGTACAACCACAAAATGACCAGAGACACCACCACTGTGTGGATCGGGAGTCTTTCGGTGCTGAATTTGTGCATTCCTGCCACAGCTGGAGATCTTTCAGGTTTCGAATATACTGTTCACAATTGCATTTTACACCTCTGCCGCTCTTTCCCCCTCAGGCGCCAATGTTCTCTCGCAGGCATCTGACTGTGCATCCATACTCTTTGAAGCTGCTGGAGGAGGAAATCCAGATTGTGTCTCTCTCTTACTGGACTATGGAGCTGATGCTAATGTACCAAAGCACTCAGGTCATTTGCCTATCCACAGAGCTGCTTACAGAGGACACTTTTTGTGAGTTAGAAGCAGCTCACTCGGTTCATGTGACTGGGGTGGGGAAAATGTAGTGGTAATATAGTAAATTCTGCAGCTGATTGCATGGTTTGGGTGGAGGTTCTGCAGATAGGATTATTCCAAAACAGTATTCTTCTTCAGTGTCTGTGCAGTTGCACTTATATGGCTTCTGTACCTACAAAAGCAACAGTAAATTCCTGGAGCCAGTTTATTTTATTTTTTAATGGTACAAAAGTGTACTTCTTCAGCTAAAGTGTGTGACTGAGGGGATGGAATCAGTGTGTTCCAATAAAATTTCGTACAGATCCTCATTATAACTTTTGGCTTTTTCACTACTTCATGGTGGCTTAAGTAAGTCCTTGTGTTGGTCTTTCTCTTTCCATCATTTTACTTGCAGACACACTGATCTTGACAAATATTCTATTTTTACCTTACTCCCTAGAGCTTTGCAGATCTTGGTTCCAGTGACAAATTATTCTGCCATAAAGGAGAGTGGGATCAGTCCAGTTCACTCAGCTGCAGCAGGAGGACATCCTCAGTGCCTTGAATTCCTTCTCAAATCTGGCTTTGACGCCAATTTTATGTTACATCAGAGAATTCGCAAAGGTTATGACGATGAAAGGAAATCAGCCTTGTATTTTGCAGTCTCTAATGGAGATCTTACCTCAGCTCAGATGCTTCTGGAGGCTGGAGCCCTTCCAAACCAAGATCCAGTGAACTGTCTCCAACTGGCCTTGAGAATGGGCAGCTATGAGCTCATTAACCTCCTGCTTCGCCATGGGGCTAATGTGAACTACTTCTGTAGGGTTAATACAACACATTTCCCATCAGCTCTGCAGTATACATTGAAAGATGAAGTCATGTTAAGGATGTTGCTGAATTATGGGTACAATGTTCACCAGTGTTTTGACTGTCCTCATGGAGACAATGTACACTCCCAGTACATGTTTGAGGGGTGGACCTCAACTGTTATCAAAGACACAATGGTAAGTACTTCTGATGGGTAGGAGCAAGATCTGCATTCCTGCAAATTGCCTAGGCTGTTTCCATTCCAGTTGGGCTCCAAAAGTGGGAGTGAATGTATGTAGGAGGTGAAACCCTTAAAAACAACCAGAGTCAGAACTGTAACATGGAGAACCAACAAGCATGATCTATCCACTTTAATGTTTTATGGAAAACACGGGATTGTACAGCTGAATGCTGTTCTTAAAAACCACCTTTTGCATATCAAATGGCAAGTGCTGCCTTATCCTAAATGTACCTGTTACTAGTTTTACTAAACTGCATGACTGCTGGAGACTTGCACCCACAACTTTGCTTTGTTTTCATCAGGGTGGGAGTTAGCCAATTATTTATTCAGGGGAATTTTATTACTATAAAATGTTCATTTTTGTAGTCTTGTGTTTTGTTTTTCTCAGTTCTGTGACGTGATAACCTTGTCCTGGCTACGGCACCTATCTGGAAAAGTAGTGCGTATCATGCTAGATTATGTCGACCATATCAGAATCTGCTCTAAGCTTCAAGTTGTTCTTCAAGAGCAAAAGCTATGGCCAGAAATCAACGCAATTTTGAGTAAGCATCAAGCATGTATAGAAATGTGAATTTCAAAACTGAATGACATGGTATGCTCTATGGTAGATTATTGATACGAATGTCACCATTAAATCAGTTACCGAATATGGATAAAAGCAGGCAGGATGTTTTGTTCTGATGAATAAAATCTAATGTTACACTAAATCATTTTGGTTTATATTGGAATCTTCTCTGGCCATGGCAATATATAATGACAGATGTTCCTTCATTTTCAGCAAACGCCCGGTCTTTGCAACATCTTTGCCGTCTGAGAATCCGGAAGTGTTTAGGACGTTTGCGTCTACGTTGTCCTGTCTTCTTGACATTTTTGCCACTACCAAACCGTTTAAAAGACTATATACTTTATAAGGAGTATGATCTCTATGGACAAGGAAATTTAGAAGGATTCTACTAACTGAGGCCTATGTAACTGGGTTTGTGCCTTATATCCATTCTACATAAATAGCCTCTTATGTAAGTTTTAAAACATAATTTTAACAACTAATCTGAATAATATTACTTGTTTTTATGAAGGATAAAACCAGCACCTGAGTAATTTTTTTATAATTCCTATAAAGCAAAATCTACTGGAGAATAAAAACATAGTATGCCATCATCTCTAATAAGAAAGAAGCCTAAAGCTTCTAACACTGTTATTCTGATATCAATGTTACGGGAGGAATGAAGACTATGTGTTTTCACTCATATTAGTGTAATCAGGTGACTTTAAAAGCACAAAACTATGTCTTCTTCCACAATTCATTGGGAAAAGATAAATTTTCAATCTGTTCCCTCTATAATTAGATGATTAAATATTTCAGTCTTCTTTCTCACTGGTGTAGTAGTTAAAGGTGTTCAGGAAAATTAATTAAAAACAACACATAAATTTGTAACTGCCCACAAGAACTTGATGCACAACCATGATGATGATGATGATTTATCACCGAAAGCTCACTATTTTATATTCTTAATGGTCAATTAAAAGTATCACCAGCGTTTGCTAGATGATTAAATATTTCAGTCTTCTTTCTCACTGGTGTAGTAGTTAAAGGTGTTCAGGAAAATTAATTAAAAACAACACATAAATTTGTAACTGCCCACAAGAACTTGATGCACAACCATGATGATGATGATGATTTATCACCGAAAGCTCACTATTTTATATTCTTAATGGTCAATTAAAAGTATCACCTGTGTTTGTATTGTTTCCATGACCATGTGGCTTTTTCCTGATTTATTCCTGAACTCTGAGATACCATAGAATAGCCAATCAGGGCATCAGCTGAAGACCAACATGAGCTCTTGACATCAAACAAGCAGTACTGCATGTTAAAGAGAGCATCCACAAGGTAAAACTATATATTTGGCTTTGCTTTCGTGTTAAATTGACTGTTCCTGGTGGTTTAACTAAATTCCTAATCCCAGCTTTGTTAGAGGCAGGCCATATTAACTGGGCAGTCTTTCCTCCCTGAGCTAAAAAGAAATGAGTTTCAAAAAGGCTGAAAGGGAGAAGCTGAAGGGCAGATTGCCGGCGACTGTCCTCTGTTTTAAGAGATAGAATATAAATTCCAAATTGTTAGCTGAAGAAGAGCTTGAAACCAGTGTGCATGCTGCAGCTGTTTCCATCTAAGAAGCTAACCTGGCCTCCACACCATCAGCCATGTGAATTTGGGACATTAAAAACAGAACATAAGTTTGGAACTGCCCACAAGAATTTGAGGCACAGCCTTAAAGAAGGTGATTTATCACTGAAAGCTCGCTATCTGTTTTTTGTTTTGTTTGATATTCTTAATGGTTGATTAAAGGTATCATCTGCTCCTGCATTTGTATAGTTAAAACAGTGTACAATGGTGCCTAGACTAACAAACTTAATCCGTCCCAGAAGATGTTCGTAAGTTGAATCAGCATTTCCCATTGAAATTCATTGAAACCTGATTAATCCGTTCCGGCTGTTTTTTGTTTGTATGTAGAGGCGCTGGTTATAAGTCCTATGGGAACAAATGCAAAACTGGTTAATCCATCCTCTACCACTAGGGGGAGAATATTTTCTTATTCTAAGATGACTTTGGTTTAAAAAAAGAGCAGGAAAGGAGGGAGGGAGGGAACATTGGGGAAAAGAGGAAAGAAAGAAGGTCATCATTGGGGCACACAGACCCCTTAGACAAAGGTTTGTGTTTGTAAGCACAAAAAAGAGAGAAGACAGAGAGAGAGAAGACAATGGGGAGAGGAGAGAGTTTGTAGTATAAAACACATTTTAAACCCACAGATGCTAAACCCACACATTTTACACCAACACATTTTAAACCAAACACCTTTTAAACAAAACACATTTTAAACCAAACCAAGCACCTGGAGAGCATAGAGAGAAACAGAAGACAATTGGGGGGTGGGGGAGACTTGAGTCTAAACTCCATTTTAGAGCACACCAGCCAGCACAGACCCTTGCAGAAACGGTCTGCAAGACCCATCAGAGCATAACCCCCCCACACACATCTAGCCCAAACCCAAGCTGCAAACCCCCTGTACAGTAAAAAAGCAAAAAAAAGTACATACAGTACAGTACAGTACAGTACCAGGCAGTACGGTAAAGCTCAGATCTGTACAGTAAAACTAAGATCATGGCCACTGGTCCCATCACCTCCAAGCAAATAGAAGGAGAAGATATGGAGGCAGTGACAGATTTTACTTTCTTGGGCACCATGATCACTGCAGATGGTGACAGCAGCCACAAAATTAAAAGACGCCTGCTTCTTGGGAGGAAAATGATGACAAACCTAGACAGCATCTTCCCAACAAAGGTCCACATAGTCAAAGCTATGGTTTTTCCAATAGCAATGTATGCAAATGAGAGCTGGACCATAAAGAAGGCTGACCACCGAAGAACTGATGCTTTTAAATTGTGGTGCTGGAGGAGACTCTTGAGAGTCCCCTGGAGTGCAAGGGGAACAAACCTATCCATTCTGAAGAAAATCAACCCTGAATGCTCACTGGAAGGACAGATCCCGAAGCTGAGGCTCCAATACTTTGCCCATCTGATGAGCAGAGAAAACTCCCTGGAAAAGACCCTGATGTTGGGAAAGTGTGAAAGCAAGAGAAGGGGACAACAGAGGACGAGATAGTTGGACAGTGTCACTGAAGCTGCCAACATGAATCTGACCAAGCTCTGGGAGGCAGTGGAAGACAGGAGGGCCTGGCGTGCTCTGGTACATGGGGTCACGAAGAGTCGGACACGACATAACGACTAAACAGCAACAAGTCATGTCTTTATATAAATAACGTGTAATTAAATACTTCCAAGCTAAATGGAAGAGACCTTGGAATATAGTTCAGATGACAATGAAGAGCTGGGCCATAAATTCCAAACTACTACCATGTTTTCCCCAAAATAAGACAGTGTCTTATATTAATTTTTGCTCCCAAAAACCCACAAAAAACCAGCTTATTTTCAGTGGATGGTTTAATTTTTTTCAGCAATCTACATTTATTCAAATACAGTCATGTCATCTTCTTCTAGTTGCTGCACAGTGGTGGAGGGTGGGGTTTCACTTAACTCGGGCTTATTTTTTTGGTAGGGCTTATATTACAAGCATCCTGAAAAATCATACTAGAGCTTATTTTCAAGTTAGGTCTTAGTTTCAGGGAAACAGGGTAGCTGAAAACAACTTGCATATAACATTATTTCCATCTAAGAAGCGAACTGGACACACAGCCTTGAAGGTCTTTAACATTGAAAGCTCACTTTTTGTTTTCTGTTTCTTCTTCATGGCCTCTGTGAAAGCACACAACTGAGTTGTTCTGCGCCTGCGCTGAACCTCTCAGACATTTCTGGAGCTTAAAGACACATGATTAGTGGGACATTACCCCGTGGAGCACATGCTCCGCCTACCACTGATTCACTCAGTTCCTTTTTTCCGCCATGTTGGCTAGACCTGTTTCAGAGAACAAGAGCGATCTATTAAATTAATACTTTCCATCGAATCATTGTTTATTTTCTTCAAATTCCTTTTCAATCATCTTTCTTTATTGGACGTTTCCCCTGTGAGTTTATTCCAGTTTCTTCTCTGTCCACGTTTACCGATCCTGTCCCCCCATGACAGTTTTTTCCCTCCCCCTTTCCCCGCTCTTTTATGCCCCCCCGGACCTTTCAAGCGGTGGGTGCTCTGCGCAAATAAAATCCCGCTCACCGATGGCCATGACAGTTGCCTTTTCTGTCTTGGAGAACAACATCCGACACACTCCTGCTCCAACTGTAAAAGGCTAACTAAACCAGCGCTAGAACTGCATTTACAATGACTGAGATCTTACCTCTGGGAGAAATCTCTGAACCCACCTCTGGTTGCTATGGAGTCTGCACAATCTCCAGATCCTCGACCCAACTGGTAAAATCCCTCCATGCCTGTTTCCAGCCCAGCGATTCCTCCTTCTCACCATAAGGAGAAGTCAAAGTCCGCTTGAAATCAAAATTGGTGTCGACGACGAAGACCTCAACTCAATCTTTGGAGTCTTCAATCTTTGAAGAAAAAAGACAAGGCGACTTCAAAGAAACTGAAAAGACCCTCAAAGTCCACTCAGCTTGACCCACCACAGCCGACTCTTCCATCTCCCATCTTGGAAGAATCATCTAGAGATGCTCCTATCTCTCTTTCTGACAGAGATGACCCATCTCTACTTCCAGCCCGTCGCACAGTATTGGCCTCTCTCCAGCTGATGTTCATTCCAGCCAGGCCTCGGCCCATTCGAGCCCTGCATCATCAAGGTGGGCAATTCCAATTGAACTATCTGGCTCCGATGCATCTTGCCACTCTCCTAGAAAACACCGGAAGAAGAGATGGCATCTATCACCTGTTCTGTATGACCTCCCACATTGGGAGTATTATTATTATCCACAATCCTCTTGATACCAGTTCTGAGATGATAGAAGAGATAGATACTACTAAATATGACTCCTATCTACCTGACGATCCTCAAGAACAGCCTTATTATGATGAGCCTAAAAGGGTCCGCTATACTTTACAGTATCCACCCTGATACCATCACTCTCTCCATCTCCTCAACATCAACACCAGTCTCAACATTGGATACCGACTCATGCAACCCTTCTGGCTAAACCAGCCCTGAAACACCTTCATCAACTGTAGAACATTCTCAATCAAAGCATTCTAAGCATTCCTCCAAACACCTTCCCCATGCATCACTGAAAGTTACTACCACTTATAAAGGTCCTCCTCCTCTGCCTACAGAAACGTAGAGATATTCCACACAGGTGCTTCATACAACACAGCCTCCCTCCTCCACACAAATATTGATGTCAAAAACCTTGACACCAATCTCCTTCTTCAGTTTCATCCCCATCAATTCAGGACTTTGCCTCTGGCATATCACAAGAATCATCAACTAATTTACTGACACTGACTTCTGATGTCACTGAGAATAACCTACCTCTCCATCAGAAGACTTCACTTCTTACTCTCAACTAGTCATGAGAATGGCTAAACTTGAAATTGAGGAACCACCACCACCTAAACAGGACTTGGTGTTTGCCGATATTAATCAAGATAAAAAGCCCCCTCTCAGTCTGACATTTATTCCGGCTATGCTTGATTTGATCAAGGAATCATGGGACAAACCTCCCTCTTCCTTACAAATTTCCAGACGTGTCAAAAATCATTATAAGACCCACGATACGGATACTTAGTTTCTCACCAAACATCTGACACCGAACTCCATAAGAGTAGAGTCAAACTAATCAAGAGCCCGAATTAAATCCTCAATTGCACCTACAAATAAAGACGGTAGAAAATTAGATATATGCGGCAGGAGGCTCTATTCCCTCACCTCATTTTTGATACGAGTTGCCAATTATCAAGCCGCAATGGGAGCTTACCATAAGCAACTATGGAATAGGATTCACCC